GTGGCCTTGTCACCGGCTTTCCCCAGTGTCAACCTCTGACATGGCCGGTGTACATGTGACCAGGCCACGGAATTCACATGAGTGAATGCTGTTTACTGAACTCCAGGCTTTATTAGGATTTCTGCCCCCTTTTCCATTCCTGTCGGTTTTCTGCCCCGGACCCGATCCAGGACATGGCGTCTCCTCCGGTCTATGCCAGCTTCTCGGGATTTCTCGTCTTTTAGCACCTTGCCACTTTTGAAGAGCAGTGGACAGATGCTTGGTAGAACGCCCCTCAGTTCAGGTTTCTCTGATTAGAAACCCGATTAGACTGGGGGCCATGGGTTTGGGGAAGAAACAGAGAGGAGGTGTCCTTCCCATCACATCGCACTGGGGTAAGTGATGCCCAAGTGACATCACCGGTAACGTTACCCTTCACCACCCGGTCAAGGTGCTGCCTGCCCCGCTCCCGCGCCCCAAAACTGCCACACGCTCGCCGTTAGAAGGAAGTCACTAAATCCAGCCCGCGGTGCAGAGCAGAGGAATTAAGCTCCATCCCCTGGAGGGCGGAGTATTAAAGAATTGTGCACACAGACTGAAACCACCGCAGTAATTCACAAATATTTTGAGAGGGAGGTATTTGGGGTTATGCAAACGTCCCGTTTCTCCTTAAAATCCTGCCCACTGAATTAGGTGGCTCTCGTCTACAGCGACCGTTACTGTGAAATCTGAACTGATTTTGTATTTCCGTCATTCTTTCCACATCTATTATTTGGAATTCTTTTGCAAGGAAGGTTTGTCCCTTCGTCCCGGTGTATTTATTTTTTCCCTCATCTGTGGGTATATCGGTGTGGATTCGTGGATATTTATTTTATTCTTGGGGTTATAATCCAATACTGTCGTTATTTAGTTCAAATCTTTCCAGCTTTGGCATGGATCTTTCAGGTTGGTACTCATGATCTTTTTTTAACGTTTTTACTTCTTTTTGAGAGAGAGACAGAGCATGGGGGCGGGGGTGCAGAGAGAGAAGGAGACACAGAATTGAAAGCAGGCTCCAGGCTCTGAGCTGTCAGCACAGAGCCCGACACGGGGCTCGAACTCACGGACCGCGAGATCGTGACCTGAGCCGAAGTCGGACGCTCAACCGACTGAGCCACGCAGGTGCCCCAGTGCTCGTGTCCTTTTGACACAGGCTCCCATCCTGGTTTAGAGGTTTGTTTTTTTTTTTTTTTTTTTTTTTTTTTTTTTAGAGAGAGACAGAAAATGAGAGCAGGGGAAGGGCAGAGAGAGAGGGGGGTGAGGTGGGGAGAGAGAATCCCAAGCAGGCTCTGTGCTCTCAGGGCAGAGTCTGGCACAGGGCTTGATCCCATGAACCATCAGACCATGTCCTGAGCTGAAATCAAGAATTGGATGCTTAACCCACTGAGCTACCCAGGCGTCCCCTGGTTTAGTTTTGTTTGTTTTCATTTTTTTTTCTTAATTAAGCACTTTCGTGCTTTCTGTTACAAGACACAAGCTTTCTGGGCTCATCTTGCATTTTCCCTACCCCAGCTCTAGATCAGCCGCTTCTCCAAGGAGCCCTGGAGAAATATTTCAGATTCCCAGTTGGCACCCTGGGGGCTCTGTTTGAGCTGGCCAGGGCAGAGGTATCAGATTCATAAGAAGCAGCCGATGGCCCCGGATGTCTAGCCAGCTCCGAGGAACACATCTCATCAAGCTGCCCCATTTAAGTGAGGCTCAGAGGCACCTCATCCGCAAGGTGCAAGGCAGTGGGGCAGAGAACCCTGGTGGGGTCTGGTTCCCCGACTCCACCCTGCCTCCCTGCGTGAGGGATCTCAGAGAAGGAAGTCCCAGCAGATAGCCCAGCTTCCACCGCAGGGCCTACAGGCCACATGTGGGCAAGGTGAGGGGGGCGGCCTGGGGCTGACCAAGGCAAGTCAAGGCCAGGCCCAGCCACAGCGTTGGCACCAGCTTCTTCCTGAACCAGCAGGGGCCCAGCACAGACTAACAGGACTCGAATCCACAATATAATACTGTCAGGGGCTTTACACACAGGGCCTGCGGCCAGAGAATCAGAGCCCCAGACAGACCCTGCGCTGGCTGCGAAGGGCTTCAGAGGTCAGGGCCGAAGCCAGGAAGGGGACATTCATCTGCCATTGCTCAGGGCTTGAAGACCCCCAGAACACACTAGAGAGGAAGTTTAAGAACTGTGTGGCTCTGAAACAGCAATTTCGGCTCACTGAGCTTTAGACACTCCATTTGCACCATGACGGGATGATGAAAATGGCAACCAAGCTTGAATCTCAGCTCAATTGGCAGGAGCCTCTTGGAGCAGGACGGAGAGGATTCTGAGGTTACGGTAGGGCTCACGGTAAAGACTGCTGTGCCCCACTCGTGATGCCTGCCCTGGGTGTGAGACGGGAAGGCTATGGTACAAGTCCAAGGTATTTGCTATCCTTGGATTAGTTCATCTCTCCTATGCTTTCCAGCTCTTTCATTTGAAGATGTAAAAAAAAAAAAAAAAAAAAAAAAAAAA